CAGGCCCCCGCTATGTGTTTTAAGATTTGTGGATTTTATGAATGTGATGCCTAAATTTGCATTCTTACTATCTGTATTCTGTTATTTGTTAATATGTCTCCTGTCTTTTATAGGAGTAAATGTCTCTCATTCACATGGATGTATGGCATATATTATATGCATAGGAATTTATACAGTATTTTGTAGCTACTGTAATTTCCTCAGAATCTTTTAAAAGATACTTAAATCTTAAAGTATGCTAAATTTGTATTATATTTTTGAAACTAGAAATTTTCTATGAGGTATGTTGTCTTATATATGACTCTTCAAAAGTGGTCTTTCTTTATGTAGACGCTGTTGCAAGTTGCCTGGGAGAAGTGGGTCCTATAGATTTCTCTACCATAGCTATACAACATGATAAAGATATATCTTATACCAAGACCCTAGAGTTATTTGAAGATAAAGAACTTCAGTGGACCTTCATAATGCTGACCTACCTGAACAACACACTGATAGAAGATAGGTGAGTATTTGTGATACTATTTGTCTTGATTGAGCTTACTTAATCTGACATTCAAGAAGAATACTTCACATAAATTAACATGATTTCCAAAACAAAATCTTTGCCTTTTAGGTTCTTATACTTAAAAAATATATATTTTTATGAAAACCCTTGCATTTTTATTTTTATTAATTTACATAATCATTGACTTTGATATGTACCAGGTATTTATATAGTGAATTTTCCAGACAAGGTAAGAGTAGATCAGACAAACAACAAATGAAAGAAAAATACCATTTGTTTCCATGCAGAGTTAGAATAGGGGAATGTACAAGTAATATGTCAAGCACTTACCAAAATCAGAGGTGCCTTCTTCTTCCATGCTAAGCTTAATTGTGGTCCTTTTAAAGTAAGCTGTAGGGTAAGAGTCTCATAGCCTCAAAAGTCTTAATCAGAATTTTCTCATTTATTCCCTGTACTATACAAAGATGTTACCAGTATTTCAGCTCGCTGGTGTGAGATCACACCTCTCTGTTTCAGCTTCTCCCATTCTGTCTGTACCTTACTTCCCTCCCAGCATGTGTTGAGCGATTGATGAGTGTCTTTACCCCATCACAACCATTTTGGGGGCTAGATTCAACAAAGGCTTTTTCCCTCTACTGGACTTCTTGCTGATGTAAATAAGTGTTTTGACCTCTCTCCCCTCCTGCCTACTGTATTCCCATTATTGATTTAATGGACTTGTATCTTTCTTTGTTGCTGTTTTTCTAACATAAAACAGTGACATTTTCTTTCCCAACACTTTATTTAGAAGTTTACAGTGAACACTTGTATTTTCACCATATAGGTTCTTTTTTTTTAAATGTATTTAGTACAGGGTCTACAGGGTCTCACTATACA